GTACCAACGAAAGGAAAAGCCAAAAGAGAAGAAAAGTTAAAGAGAAGCAGAGAGAGGCTCTCCGATTTAATTCGCTGCCACATTACTGAAATTTCTCGCGAGATTAACGAAAGGTCCGGGGCGCGCGTAATCGTGACGAGTTAGCGGCCGTTTAGATTATAAATCATAATAATCATCTCGCGCGCGCTAAATGATAGTCGAGATCTTCGCGGTTCCCTCGCGTGTCGTTACCGTCGCCTGGAAATGAAGGAGGAGGGTCGGAGTCGTGCATTAGAAAAATATCAAGAGCGATATTTCTTCTCGAGCGCGCGTTATTCGCCGCGCCTCTCCCTCGTGTCGGCAACGAGACCGTCGGAGTAAAGGGGGTGGAAAATGGGCGAGAAGAAAAATGCGATACGGAAGGTCCTGTTGCGCTCTCTGATATCCGAAACTCCATAAAGCGAGTTAAGTCGGACGTATCGCGGCAGCGGCGGCAACAGCTTTCATCCTCAAAAGTTGAGAAAGTTTGGCGCGACGCGATAATCTCACCCCCGAGTTTTGACTGTTATATCGCAATATGATGAACTGTAAATCATTTTGGAAGCAAAGAAGATACTTGTTGCGGATAAAATCCTCGGAGAGCAATTTAATTTTGGTCGTTGTACTTTTCTTTTTTTTTTTTTTCGAAGAAGCTACGTAATTGCGATTAGTAAGTTGGTTCCCGTATTAAGAAAAAAGATTCTTGGAAATATATTATGCAAAAACCCCAATGTATTTTTAAGATTACGATCCGTATCATGCGAATAAAAAATGTAGAATTCATGAAGAATTGCAGTCGCAATTAATATTTTATACGACTGTCAGCGGATACCAGTGTGTGATTAATATCGCGATACCAAATGAAATCATGCTAAAATTAATTATTCACAGATATTTTTGGTTTTCACAGATTGGAAATATTATATTTAGATTTCGCATATTGTGTATCGATTATGTATCAAGTTGCATGGTTCAGAGAGGAGGAGAGATACATCCATTAATATAAAAATATGTTACACGGCAAAAATAATATACGTAAATTATTTGCGCAAACTAATGCCTCCATTACGGAAAAGTATTTGCATTGATATTAATATTTATGACATGTATCTTTATTTTCCATATTTTATTTCTGCTTAATAATATTACCGGATATTTATATAAAAAAACGTATATATCTTGTTGCTTTTTTTTATTTTTTACGTTGTTAAACGCGTCGTATTAATACCGTATCAAAACACATACAAAACATGCTGATATTACTAGCCATTTGTGAGCAAAATGTTCATCAAGAGTAGCGCCAAAAATTAATGCGACATTTGAACTACAACATCCATAAAGAAAACTCTCGAGAGCACGAGATCTGTACTTTCGATTATTTTCTCTCACTCGTAAAATTCCCATAAATTCCTATAATTTTTTGATCTCAAAAAAAAAAAAAACTTCCCTCCGAGAGCACGTGGAATTTCAAGTTTCACCCCGATTACGTCCATATCAGAGACGAGTCAAAATTTACGGACGATCCGGGCGACGGCGCGGCGCGGGAACCGGCGCATTTGCTTTCCAACGGCGTACGCGGGAAGGAGCACACTTTTCACACCCTCGCTCGAAACACCATAAAGCACCCCGGTGAGGCGGGAAGGTCGAGCGGAGTCAAGTTGGGTTAGGTTAGCGTCGTGAATGACGGAGGAGGGTCGCATTTCGCCCCGATAAAGTTTGTTCGATCGGCCGTTAGTCTCCTTCTTATGGTCTCTTGCGCCTCTCTTCGTCGCGCTAAAACCTCAAGCCGAAGCTCACACGTGAGTTCATCGATAATGTAAGCAAGAAAATTTTTTAAAACTTTCAAAAGAGGGAAAATAAAAAAATTGTGACTAATCTAAATGTTTCGATCTTCTTTTAAGTTTTCGTTTGAATACAAAAATTGAACGCGCTCGCGATATTCCATTTTTTGAAAAAATTGTTTCCTAAAATTTATCTCCGAGTATTATATAATAATTAAATACGTAAACTTTGTCTTGTTTATATTTATATATATTATTGTTTGAACAAAAAGAGAGAGAAAGAGAAAAAGAGAAAGAGACGTGTCTTATTAGTGTCAAAGTTCGAGACCGCTATTTCCGTTGAGCCGGCGTTACGTACACGCGCGCAGTTCGTGCCTTTTCCCACGGACTTGGAGGTCGGGCACGTTGTGCCGGAAAGCGTGCAACGGCCGCGGACGAGCTTTTAACTTTGTTCCGAAGTTCTCCAAGGTCGTGCCGGCGCGGCGCGCCCGTTGTAGGTCGGTGCCACTGGAGTAAAGCAGCGAGAGAGAGAATTTCCCGAGGCCGCGTCATAAATCTCTATCTACTACCGGGGGTAAACGCTCGCGGGATAGACTTTGGCGACGACTGTAATTTCGCGCCACTGGGGTGTTGTCTCACTCCACGTGCACACGCGAGTACGTGTATACTTGCAAAAGTGTCTTTGTGTGCGCGCGCTCACTCCTCCCCCCTTCTCTCGTTCCCCGCAAGCGGTGAAAGATTTATTTGGCACGTTTTCTTATACGCGGCTGAAAAGAAGAGACACTTATTGCTTCGACGTTGCGGCGTTTCTCCGGTAATAAATATATCGGTATTATCGATAAATCGGGGCCGAACACGGAAGAATATTACTTTTCCAACTTCTCTATTAACTTCCTCGTTACATGCAAACTTTTAAACAAGCCCCAACGTGATATAAACTTGAGGTATTTAATGCTCATTTTCTGCGAGAGAGGAAAATCCTCTATGTATTTTTTTTTTTTTTTTCTGATACACTTTAATAATAAAATTTATACTCTGTAGAATTATCCTGTCTCTGATTTCTACGTGCCCAGCGTGTGTCTCACATTACAAGTCCGCACTTTACTACTGACAAATTACGGCAAAATCTCGTCTTTGCGTATTTTAAACGGAGTTAAGCTTCCATTTCGGAGTCGCTAGGTGTGACACGTATAAATTAGCGTGACGTAAGACGTTCACCTCTCTGGGACAAATCTTTACGCGCGGTGAGATCACACGCTAACTTCGCGGTGCATAAATAATTTTATTTGCATAATCATTGACCGAACTTCCACAAGAGCGGCGCATTGTTGTTTCTGACCGAGCGTGAGAGGACGGAACAACAAGGCGAGAGAGCTACGCGATTTAACTTTGTTTACGACAAAAGTAAAAGAATCGACCGTCAGTCCAAACTATTTAATCCTTTTCCGTCGATTTTGCTTTTGTAACTTGTGCTCGAGCCGAAGAGAGCCGCGTGGCAGGGTTTAGCCGCCAAATTACCGCGTGCAGTTTCGCGGAAAATACGCCCGAAAAGCAAAACTACCCGAGGGATTACTTAACAACAACGCGCGATCGCTCACTCGTTCGTTCGGGTACCTATGTAAAAACGATCGTTTGAATTTTCCGCACGCATCGCCGACTCGCATAATCGCGGGAAAATCGGCACGAGTGTCTTTTAAGCGTCGCCCGTTAAGCGCCCGTGCGTGTTTACTTTTCGCGAAACGAAATAAACTATCGCCGCGCTTGTTTGCCAGACATTCATACGTCAATATTTAGAACGAATTGTGTTGTCGTTCATACGATTCACCGCTGTTTGTACGCTATTTATACGCGCTATTTATTATTTATACAATGAAAATTTGCGATTCGCGACGCTAATTGACGCTCGTCGCTTATGTAACATTCAAGCGGTCAACCGCCGCCGCGCGCATCCGAAAGATTAATTTATGCGTCTTCATTAAACGCGCGCGAGAATTTCTCCTTATTTCCTCGTGTATTCGCGCTCATGAATTCGATGATGGACAATTACATAAGATTTCTTTCAATACACATCGTGAATCGAATCGCGTCTCTCATCACGCGCGAAAAACGACGATAATAGGAAACGTTAAATTGATAATAGAAAACGGAACGCTTAATCAATATCTGAAATACCTAGAAACTGCCATCTTATCGGAGTGACGTAATTAAATCGATTATTTAGGAAATTAGATAAACGAAATTGAGTTATCAGATCGATGCTGAAATTAAGATTTTTGTGCGATCAAAAAAGAGAGAGAGAGAGAGAGAGAGGAGATAAATAGAGAACGATTGGAAATGATTTTATCTCCCGAATCGAAAATGCAACCTCTGAAATTAATGCGAATCTCCGATGAATAAACCTCAGAACGATGATTTTATAGTAATCCCGGGCAAAACGATACCGGCGCGAAGCATCGACAATGAAAACAACAATGGTTGTCATTTCTATTACAATAGACACGCTGCGCTTCTGTTCTAACAATTCCATTATCTCCGCGCGAGAGATTCTCACCGGGCGGAGGCTTTATTATGCCTATCAGAAAATTTAGATCGTTTATTTAATGGGATATAAATAGTCGTGCGCGGCCTATTAACAAAATACGGAGTATTTCGCGCGGAACAATAGCTTTGCGAAGTCATTTGGCCGTTCACGCGACGACTGCAATTATACGTTTCGTTATAATGGCGCCGCAAGTAAGCAATTTACTGCTTAATATTACGCAATTAAAATTAAAAAATGGATCTCGTAATACTGTGGGTTGGGGGAGGGGGGGAGGGAGGAAGGGGAATGTCGAAGCTATTAAAATTTTTAAAAAGTCGCTCCGGTGCGCTTCGATGATGCATATAACATGCGCGTGTAGCGTGCGCGATAATAATTTCATCCTTTCAACTTTTATTATACGGTTAAAATTATATCCGAAGACGTAAAAAAATAAAAAGAAAAGCGTGTTTAGCTTAATATCCTGTTTAAAAATTGTAGGTGTGCTCGTTTATTTTAAATTACAGCTGATAGGAGTGATTAAAAAATGTATGCGCGCGTGTTACTTTCGCTCTGAAATAAACGAAGTTCATTATAATCGCAAAAAGTGGCCATTGTGTTGCCGCGCCATTAATTTATGCAGTTAAGTAATAGTTTTTATTATTCCTCACTTTTTTTCGCAGGGAAATGTCTACACCTAAGTGGTCTCACGCCCGAACCATTGACAGCGGACGACGATTACAAGCTTTTGGGCCTCGGCATCGGCTTCACAAATATGGTAGCACGTGCGACGAAAGGCAGCGCGGATCTTACAAGAAAGGAAATTAAAGAAGGTCAGTTCCCTAAGGTTCTCTCCGAAATGAGATAATTATAAAAAAAATCTCAGACGAAAAAAAAATTATCGCATAAAACCGGTATCGCGTTTTCTACGGAGCTCAGCGGAAAAATTAATTTGAATTTTGAATTACACACCCAATGTTATATAATATTTTATCGTACAATTTATATTTTACATAATACGAAAAAGTACAATGGAATATTTTATCTCAATTAAAATTTGCGAGAACAAATTTAATCTCGTCATTTTCACTATAATCGTATTTTAAACATTATTAGTGAATTATATATATAAAATATTGACTGCAAAAAAAATTCGCAACCTTTTTTTTGTAATATGTGATCAAAATTAGTAAAACATATATATATATATATATATATATATATTTTTTTTAAACATATATATATATATATTAAACATATATATACGATTATGTATTTAAAGATTCAATTTATCGCGATTTTGGATTTTTAAGAATTTCTGCATACTTTTAAATTTCAGAAACTACATACACACACACACATATTTGTCCTGATAAAATTTTATCTGGTAATATTTCATGATATTCGCTAAATTCTGAAGACTGTTGAGCGCAAAATGTAACAATGTTGCGCATGTGTGTGTACGTGTGCTCTAATCATCTTTCTTCTTTTTACGTTCGGAAAACAGAACGTTGATTGGTCGTAACGTTTATCGTCGCTGGTGTAGCGATGTGGAGAAACGTAGACAGCAGAACTTGGGTCGAGCTGTAATCATAGGCAGTCGAACTTGTGCAACACAGAGACAGTGTGTGTGTGTCGACCTATCGCAACCTCACGTTCTTGCCTGTCGCAACCTCGATCTCGACAATGATTGGTTCGCTTAAATTCCTATCGGTCACTTTTTTGGGTGCTGTCTTGCATTAAGCGTGGACCGCGAACGATTCAGTCGCGCCACCCGGTGGCGTAGTAGTAGTACCTATATCTCTATAAGAACTCACACACAACATAGCCGATGGTTGTGTATGTCTTCTTCCGAAGTTCGATATAGGATATTCTCGCGTCTATATGCTTCGTGCATCGTGACTCAGAGTCATATTTCTTCGATACTCGGAGCCAAAATCACACTTAAAAAAAATCTTGCTCAAATAAGTAATAAGTGTTTAAAAAAACAAATTAAAATAAATATTATTCGGACGAAGTCTAGATTCGGTGGTAAAAAAAAAAAAAAAAGTAATTGGAATGATATTCGACGCGATGTGTGTGCCGGGCCAAAGTTCAACAAAAATTCTCTTAACCGCACGATGGGAGAGCGAATTGTACAACATCGAGTGCCGAGTATCCATGTGATTTGTGTGTGAATTGATTCACAAGTGACATATTACGGGATCGCGCCGTCGGATGCGTGGCGTGCGTGTCAGTATTGTCGAATCAACAAACGTGCTCCGAAATTCTCACGAAGGAGCTCCTCAACTGAACTCAGCCAAGATAAGACACCGATTGTGTTGCGTCGTCGTCGTGCCGAATATATGACGCTCGTATGTTTTCAAAGCGTCCATGTTCGCCGATTTTTTTTTCACTTCGAAGCAGTCCACTTATGCTAATACGATGGAAATAACGTTACGCAGTAAAAAATCGAGAACACCGGTCAATAAACAAATAACCTCTTATATTTATTGTACACGTTACAACATACACACACACACACACACATACTTTAAGAATACGTCATAGAATGTTTCAACATATAATATTCTTTTCTTAATAATAAAGGGGACAAATAAATGTAATTGCATAATTAGAGATTTAAAAAAATATAAATAAAATAAATTGCATTACTATACGCGTAGGTTAGTTGTGTACAGGTAATAGATTTTGAAACCGAGTTCAACAGTGTCTTAAAACAAAAGGTAGCACGTCCCGAGCTGAAATAGATGATTCATATTTAGCAATTGTTTTTCTGCTGTTCTCTCAGCGTCATATCGCGCTGACAAAACTTTATTTATCGCTTTCGTTCCGAAATTTGTCGAACAATAATACACGTCTGTGTGTGAAACACATCCCGTCAATTACGACGGTCTCGTTCTTTCGGGAAACATCGAGGGAACGTTGCTCGTAAAACAGTTGGCGAGAATGTGAATCGTGAACAAATTTCCATCGACGCCATTTGTTCACAATTCATCCCTGTTACAGTCATCGTTAAAACATGGGTACATACCGTGCGTGTGTCTTTGTAGATCGTGATCGAGAGAAGCGCGTTTACCGTACTGATGATGGTTGTCATTTAGCACCGAAATCCAATCTTCCTTCTCTGATCGCGAAATAGAATCCATTGGCGTGCACTAGTTAACGAAATTTATTTAGTTAACGGCTTAAACGCGATACCGGTGGTGTGATATTCGGACCGAACAACGGACAACACACGCTATAACACGCGCCAACTAAGCGGGACGCGGGAACAGTGATGCCAACTGTGTTCGCGTCCTAAAGGCGCTTATTCATCGCAACGCGGTCGCGATCTCCGCCTTGTCGAAAGTCGTGTAGACCCCTTCGATTAAAAAATGTCGCGTTCCGCATGTACGAGCTGTTTGAGTTTTTCGAACGATGTGGGAGAAAAAAAAATAGACGCGTGCAATCGTCTAGATCTCATTCGCGAAGAATCGCGGAAGATCGTAGAAATTCACGCTGGAAGAATTGCGGAGACACGTTGCGTAATCGCGAATCGAGAATCACGCTGGAGTGATGCAATTCTTCACATTCTGTGAGATAAAAGCCTCGTACGCATTTAAGCCTCGCAGTAATATTAATAGCCTTGGTTTTTTTTTTTTGGTTTTTTTAAATCGCACACTCCAAGAGAGTGATCTTTCAATCTTAGCTTCGTCTAAAAGATGATAAGCGTCGCGATAATTCAATCTTGTAACATATGTACGAGAATTATATTTTTTGCTCGATTACGCAAGCGAGTTATTGTCACTTATCCGTATTTCGATGCTCGCTTCGATTTTTCTATCTGCGATGTCACCGGATTCATTATGTCGCTTTGCTTTTTTTTTCCCCCTCTCGGTTTTTGCTCTCGTTTCTCGCAAACAGTCAAAAAATTATACGACACCATTTCTGGAAGACAAAGTTCGCTGGCTATCCGTAAAATTGTCTCATGTCTTGTTATATTTAAAAGCGTACAAGAATAATTCGATTACCGATCAACTAATTGCTCGTGCCAATTTCTCGATTCTTTTCTCGTTGAAATCGCGACTTTTCATTGAAAATTCATCAGCAATGTTAATGAGATATTTGAAGCATTTTGGGACGATCGAGAAATACAGTCAATCTGCTGCTCTTTCTCCGATATAAGATACTCGATAAACTAATATGGAAACCTGCGGGAGCGCATAAAAGCGAACACACGGCGAGAGTGATGGTGTTCTGCTTTACTCGCTGCTTCGAATGAAATTACCGCATCGGTTGCGGCAATATTTAAGGTTTTCGCCGATACGTTTATTACGTTATAACCACCGACGCAGTTCGGAAAAGCGCACAAACAGCGGCAGTCACTTACGTGGCACAAATCCGTAAAGTGTCGAAAATGATAGGTCTGTCGAATACAACTGTTTTAAAGTCGTGAGGAAAAACAATTTATCTCTGATATTACTGTGCGGAAAAAAAATTACTTACAATTGTTCTTTCCTCCATTTCAAAAGTAGTCACGTGAGTTGCCAATCACGTGACTATAGTTTGAATGACCAATGGACTAATCAAAATCAATATAAAACCGAAAGCCAAGTGCATTCTAGTGGTTCTGTGTAATCTCAACAAGAATATCAATCGCATTTGTAATCAGTCGCAAGAATGTCGCAACAATCGTTTCTTTTGTTTTACAGGTAGTCACATCTTACTCGAGAAGTTGCGGAAATATAAGCCAAAAATCGCCGTTTTTAACGGCAAACTCATCTACGAGGTGTTCTCGGGGAAAAAGGAGTTTGGATTTGGAAGGCAGCCTAACCTCGTTGAGGGCACAAATACGGTAAAATGCGGCCATTGTTGTTTTGTTTTTTTTTTGTTTTGTTTTTTTTTTGTTTTGTATTTTCAACAGTTTTGAAAAGTCTGTTAAGTTGAAACATCTTTACGTTGTGTTGCAAAAAAATTTTTTTTTCTTTATAAAATCGTCAATTTTGATGTTTAATTTTCTAAGCAAACTTTTCATCTTTTGATATTGCGTTTACAGTACATGTGGGTGATGCCTTCGAGCAGTGCGAGGTGTGCCCAGTTGCCACGGGCTGCCGACAAGGTGCCATACTACGCGGCTCTGAAGAAGTTCCGTGATTATCTGAACGGCACGATCTCGCATCTCGATGAATCGGATATCGTGTTTGCGGACTCGAAGCTCAAGAAGAAAGAACATGAGGCTATTGAAGATAAGAAGCCGGTGTACGACGATTTGCCGGATGGCGAAAATCGCATCACGGAGATCAATGGCACGGGCGTGAAGCAGGAAACGGGTTTAATACCGGGCAAGAAGAAGCGCGGCCGGCCAAAGAAAATCAAGAATCCGGAGGATCAGCCGCCGCCGGATCCCGAAAAGTTGGACGCGAATGGTGAGGTCATCAAGAAACGCCGCGGACGCCCCAAGAAAATACACCAGCAGCAGAAGCAGCTGGAACGGGAGAATCGCGAGAGAGAGCAGCAACAACAGCAGCATCACCATCAGGCAATGGGTCATCTGAACGACGGCTACGGGAACGCCGTAACGAATTGCTTCTCACCGCCGCTAATGTCACCGCCGAAAACGTTCCCGCACATGGCGCCGTATTCTCAGCCGCCGCCGATGAACGATGGCTACTTCGGCCAGGGCATGAACGACAGTCCGTACAACATGAGCGCGAAGCAGAGTCCGGTGCATCTGCAGCACTACAGTCAGAGTCCCAAATCTATGTCGCTATCGTTTACGCACTCAGACCTGTCGTCGGAGATCAATACCGCAATCTCGTCGGAAAACAATCTGGAACCGTCGCCGCTCACATCGCCCAGCGTCGAACATCCGGACTTTGAACCGCCTACTACCATGTCGCAACAGAACATGAACAACGACCATCGTCAGTACAATCCGGCCGGTGGACCCGATTCGACCGGTCATCACGGCAGTCCCGGTACTCCGTCGCACAACAGCTACGCCAGCTACATGGGCTATCACGATCAGACGGAGACACATCAACCGCACCCGCATCAGACTACGTCGACGCCGCTTAGCCAGACCCCCGACGACCACTCCCATCACTCGCATCAGACGCCACCGCATCCACACACGCCCACTCACACGTCCATGTCTCCGCATCACCCGCACGAACAGTACGGAATCAAGCGGAACTCCGGCCAGGACGTGGCGTCCAAGAGTCTGAGCGATCTTGAATCTCTCGTGGATCAGATCCCGAGCATAACCGACGGCGGCAATCAGCGCCTGCAACACCCGCATCCGGGTATGCCTGGCGACGATAGTCTTACGGAGAAAATGGACGCCCATCATCAATCCTACATGTCTGGTTTTGGCAGTATGTCGAGCGGACCGAGCGGTATGACCAATTACAGCCCGCCATTACCTCCGGGCGGCGGAATCTATCCCAGCTCGCTGCATCATTCGCCTAACGACACCGGTTACCAGAGTCTTTACGGAATGAATAGTCGTCATCAGGACTCCCAACAACAGCAGCAACAACATCAACAGCAGCAGCAACAGCAGCAGCAACATAGCAAGTCCTATACGGTGGAGAACCTCGCGTCTAGCAACTACACACCTAGTATGAACCACTCGACGCACCCCGGTAACTCATACCCGAACATCATACCGGGTCCACACTACCCGGTGCCGATGAGCTCGGCCAATAGTTACTTGTTCCCCGGTCTTGAGGCCTCCACTTTGATGCAGGCACGTTCGTATCACGGGATCGGCGGGATGAGCAGCATGGGCGGTATACATCCGTCCGTACATCCAATGGCGGGGAATTACCCGTACAACGGCTCGTACTCGAGCTCGTTTGACGCTTACCCGGCGCCACCTGCGGGCATACACGCGCCAAGCGCCAATTATCCCGGCTACGTCGGCACGGCTGGTGCGGCGCCTACCACGACCTCGCCGCCGTCCTACCTCGCACCGTCGCACCACAGACCACCGGTCGATCTCTCGTACGATGGTGTATGATAATCGATGTGAATCAGCAACTGTCGTTTTTCACCCACTAATCAATCAACCAAGCAACCCTCCCCAACATCAGCCCCCCCTGCGCAATCTGCCGATCTCCTCTTGTGCGCGCGCGAGCGACGCGCGCCGCCGCGTTTATCTTTTCTACGTATTTTTACAAACGTCTCTTAAGGCTCTCAACGTCGGGGGCATCGTCGCGCGTCGTTTCCCTGAAAAAAAAAAAAAAAAAAAGAAAAAAAACGTCGTCTCTTCTCCTCTCACTCTCATCTCTCGAATCGCTCGCAAACTTATCGCGCTTGCGAGCGATTTTTGCGCGCGCTTTTTGGCTTTCTTATCGATCTGTCTGTCTATATATTCTCTCATAGACTGTCTTTTTCTTTGGTCTTTTGCTCTGATCGATTCCGCGAACGCGATACTCCAAAATTGATGGAAAATAGACATGTGTGTGCTTTGTTATTTTCTTCGCGTCTCTCTTTACTACTTAATTTCCCCGGATAAAAATAACGATAAATTATGCGCGACTTATTCGTTAAATAAACTTGCGATGTTTGATTTTGTTTTTTTATAAAAACATCTGCTCCGGATTGACTATCGAAATTCAACATATCTGTCGAGGATAACAATCTTCTTTCTGTTGAAGAAAAGTTGACATCATCAATTCTTTGCCGAGGACACAACAATATGCGTCTATTTTGTGTCAATTTTGGAACACCTCTCTCCGGTGTTTCTTCTTGCAATTCTTTCTGCAGCCTGCTTTTATTTTATCAACGCGTTTTCTCTATCTATCTCTTTCTCACACACACACGTACAAATATTTTTTCTTCTTTTTTTTTTTTTTTTTTTTTATCTCGCGCTCGATGTGCGATTACGCCGTGAGTAATTACGGGCGCGCGGTTCGGGAACGGGAAAACTGCTCGTGAAACGCGACCATGGCTCACGCAACGAATGAGAAACGTAAGCCTCCGCTAGATTAGGTTTGCCGATCGCGTTCTGCACCGTTAAAATACACATATACACGTATACACATGAACACGCACATCGATAACCGTGACGATAAATGGCGACCTTAAACGTCGTACTGATCGCGATTACAAATTCGGCCGACGTAGCCGAGGTCAGCCGAGCATGTAATTGCTCTGTCCCTTCTTTTTTTCCTTCTCATCGATCAGCTGGCATCGATCATCCACCGATTGCTTGCGAGCCACATCCGCCGAGCTTAAAACCATCGAAAGAGCACGTTTCCGTCTTCTCGTGTTTCGAAAAGAAAGAAGTTTTTAATTGCAAATGGTACAAACAGCGCAAGGTCCAAAACTAGTACAAAAAAAAAAGAAAGACACCGTGTTTTCCGCAACTCACTTGCGTGATTATATAACGCAGCTTTCCAAAATCAATCAAAAAGGTCACCAACGTCGGGGCTTTTGGTTTATCTTTGACGGAGTCAAATCGCAGAGAAAGAAATGATCGGGAATTAAAAAACCGGTGTAATTCGGAACTCACGAATTTTGATGTCATAACAGTGAAATGCTTATATGTTTATTGATTGATTGATTGATTGATTGATTGATGCCATTTTCCCTGACACAGAATGCATAATATGTGCATCAATCAAAGTTAATGACTGACAACGATGAGATTACTTTGTCATCGTTTATTTGGTGATGAAAATACGACGACCGGTATAAAGATAATTCTTTTTTTTTTTTTTTTTGTTTTCACATTTATTCATTGATAATGAGAGATGAAATGCTCGCCGAAATCAGAACTTCGGATTCGTCTCTTAAAACATGACTGTGTGCGCGAGTGGAACGGCGGCAACGTTTACTTACATGTGTGTGTGTATAGCGCGCACTGCGATTTATTATTGTTGGCTTGTTACTGTTGTTATTATTGTATTATTATTGCGTGTTTGATTAATTAACGCGCTGCGCTTCAGACCGCATTGCGTTTTATTCTGTTATTATCGAAAACAGTTTATGCTCGATGTTTCTCAAAACATCGATTATTTCCATCTATTTTATGGACGACGACGACGACTACTTGACGAACTGTCAACTTGATTTCTTTTACGTCAAATACTCATACGATTTTCTCAATGTGTCAAAAAAAAAAAAAAAACATCGAAAAATTTGCCACCTCGACAAAAACTTAAGCTGAAAGTCTAGAAGAATCTTTTACGAACTTAATGTTAGAAATAAGAAAATAGTGTAAAAATAAAAAAAAAAGACAATTTTGCAATTGTTAATCGACCTTTGCTGATTGCTGATCGTGTCTCGAAATCGCGGTTTTTCCGACGAACTGTAAATTTTCAGTGCCGACTAAATTGAAAAAAAAAAAAAAAAAAAAAAAAAACATGCTTTTTATTCGCATATTGAAGATGTTCGTTTTGTTACACCAAGTATTACACACAGACAAAGCTGAGTTAGTTATATCTCAGAAAAAGATAAATATCTATTACATAATAAAAAATGTATATCTGAAGACGAGCATGTTATAAAATAAACGCCAACCGAAGCGTTCGTCCTCATTGACGTAATTAACGATGAACAATTTGTATACTCGTTATACAATCGAGTGCCGAAACCGTTTCGCGCGCGTTCATGAGGACGCTCTCTGTGAAATAAGTTCCGTTCGGTTGTGTCGTAAAACGAGGCATTTTGTTGCCGATATAGCGAGTTAGTATCTAAGTGTTTAGATGTGATAGAGAACACACGGTAAAATTGTGTGCGATTGCAATTACTCGGTTGTGAAGTTACGTTTTCACGTAAAAATACACACATTCTCTCTCTCTCTTTCCACAAAAGTTGTCCGTGTTTGTTAACGTAGATCAGAAGCGCGATCGTCATCGATCAAAAATTCAAATTTGCACACTTCGTATGCTCGAAGCGTATCGATCTATCGGTTAATTTAAATCGCGCGAATCTCAATTTGCGTTCCGACCTTTCGTCCGGTCAACCGGACGCTCTCCTTTTATTCCGCATACAAAAGATTGTGTATCTTCGTTCGTTTCTTGCCGCACGACACGCGCAGCGTATAATACGCTCGAATTTAAATATTCTAATTGTCATTTTCGCTCGAGACCTCTCGAGTCGAGAGTAATTATTCCAGCGGAAATCGCATTTCCTCGTTGCTGGCAAAAAACGAAAGCAGAAAAGTATTAACCGAATCCGCACGAGTCGCACACGTTGCCATCGCCGCGTTGCTCGCCGCTTTTATGAGTTTTGCACGTGCGCTTTTTCTTTTTTTTTTTTTTTTTTTTTTTTTTTAACAGAGTAATTATTAATCGTTATTATTATTATTATATATATATCGTTAAGATTATACCGCACGTAAATAAGAAGAAACGAAACCGAGGTCCGATTGCGCTTGGGTGTCCAACCGTGTAAACGCGGTCGCTTTGATCGGAAAACGTTCGATCAAATTTTAACCGTAGTTTAATCTTTTTATTACATTTAAAACAAAATAATAATAAATATTATTATAGCATATTATTATATTATTATTATTATTTTTCAAATATGTACATATTGTGACTTTTTCGAATATCTATGGACCTTCGAGATATTTGAAACATCTTTTCGAGATGTTAAGAGTCCGGTGATCTACATAGAAAATTGATTAAACTAAGGTTGACGCTGGATGGATGTTAAGTAAACAGAAGTGGCTTTTTTATTAACGCGCGCAACACGGAATCCGCAAACGATTATTAACCGAATTATAATTTTTTATCACAGAAAGATAATCTCTCCGCGCACGCAATCGGACTGCCTAGAGCTTGTTTATTGTATAAGACATAAGTCCGAAATGCGAGAGACAGATGAAGACTACTATTACTACTACTCGTACTTTGTTTCGTCATATAAACCGCCATCCACTTTCGTACCTCGCGCCCGCAACAGCCATCGCCGTTCTCGTTGCAACTCTGATTATTATTTATCGTTAGAGAAACTTGATATCACTCTGTGGAGATACATATGTTACTGTCGTTATCAACATAGTCCGCGTTACGTTGTCTCGTTAATTATAATTCTGTTATGCGTTTCGCAATTGTCGAAAGTCACTATATATTAATACACGAAGTATATGAAAACAAACATCACATATTATATACACGTTACACACACACACACACACACATCCTCAACATGCATACCATATACAAACATACAAACACACGGTTCTCTCACACGCAGTCGTATTAGATATTATAGCTAGCATTAATCGACATCCTCCTTTGTCGCTGACCGACGCTGTGTAAAGTGACGCATCTGGCATGATTATAAATATACAGATATAAATATATAAATATATAAATATATATAGATATATATTATAAATAAACTATAAATATTATATAATTGACTATATGTAAGGATAAGCGAGCATAACATTTATCTCGGGTAAAAAAAAAAAAAAAAAAAAACCACCTAGGATGTGTCGAGACATTTAAGATGATGCACAGGGTATAGATGAGAAAAAAAAAAATCGTTGATATAATAACTGATGTCTATATTATTATAGATGTTTCTTTCGTTCCGTCATCGGCCTCAAACACAAACAAACACACGAACACGCGAGTATATACATACAATCGAAGTTACTGTAGTAGGTGTTTTTCAGAGATCCCAATCAGACTTTTTATCCGGGCGGCGGTCAAAAAAAGAAAAAATACTAGATGTCATCGGTGTGTGTTTTAGTCGCGCGACTACAACTTCTACGTTCATCTCGATTCGCAATGTGAAAAAGGGGATGATGAGGATTAATTATTATTATACATATATATACTCGCGCCGCGGTCCCTACCCGCCGCGCAGCGGGGGAAGAAGGACTCGGCGAATTCCGCCATCAACACTACTAATTAATTGACTCTTGGATTAATCAAATCAACTAACTGATTGTAAATTGATCTACATTAAGGAACTCTTTACTATTAAGTATAAATATATATATTATACAGATATAAAAGTGGATTCGCTGTTGAACGTATCGAATTAAGCAAAGCAAAAGGAAAAAAAAAATGAAACAAAAAATCCTTTGTGAGTAAGTAAAGCGAGTAAGAGAGCTTGGGCCGGATCGCCGGCCTCCGACATATTTTTTAATCGCTTCGAACCTCTATTATTCTACCTACTAATTAAACGTAATGGTGTATCTACGTGTGCGTCCGAACGATCGACCGATTCGCGTCGTTCTCTCGCGTCGATCGTTCCCTTCGATTGCCGATTCGAGTCGTCGATCGGATCGCGATCGCTCGGACTTATCAAGATGTGTTCTGTATCGAATTAACGAATGTACTTCTCGAATATTCATCGCTCCTACGAAATATCGCGGGATAAGAAAGGGTGACGGATGCTCGACGATATTACTTTTGAAGATGTTTCTCTGCTCCCCCTCTCTTTCACTCTTGCCGCCCGAAAACCCTAAGAAAAGACAAAAAAAAAAAAAAGAAATGCGGAAGCCCACGCAGATCCCATCCCAAAACATTGGACGTTGTATTTGGGTGCTCAGCGGATACTCGAGTATCCCGCAATATGTAAATCTCTGTATGTCTCTCTGCCCGTACTTACCGCTACGATATTTTATGTGAAAATGAATTGTTACAAATACATTACTGATATAACACCGAATTTAATAGTATATTCTCTTTACACCCAGAAAAAAAATGTCTATATAGATATAATACGTGTATGCTTATTGACGATAGTCGTTTCTCGGGAGTTACGTGTGTACGTGTTTGTGATCTTTATCCCTTTAGTGTGTCACATCAACAATCAATTTCAAAACACAGTCACCTCTTTCTGCAACGTACAAAGAAACTTGATATACAAAGGAACTCGACGATGATGTCACTGCGGAAGAGTCAAACAACAAATAAATGATGGACACTCGATGAAATAGATAAGTGTGCGTATAGGTCGATTTTTCAAGAAAAGAAATCTTCGTGTGTGCGAAAAGTAATATTTAGAAAGACGCAATTATTATTTGATAGAAAGAAAAAAACTATAGAAAAAAATTTTCAAGTATGCGAGAGATAATAATATGAAAAACAACTTTAGTCCAAATTGTACGCAAAATTGCGCGAAGTAGAAAAATCCAAACATCCTCATTCGTCGTTTCTTCGCTAACGAGACTAACGTTCTAATGAGTTAATCCTTCTCTAAGCTATACTAACTATCGAGTCGATTAGGGTAAGAGGAAGTCACTGTGGATTAAACCAATTTATTAAAGAATCACTAAGTGTATAGCTTCCTAAAGTTGAACGTGCAATATACGTTTTATAAAAGATATTTTAAAAATTGTAAAAAAAACAGAAATAGGAAAAGATGAACGATATTATTTTGCGATGAGAAGACCGTGAATGATCGTGAATTTTAACAATAATTGTTTATGAATTTACCTTTGATCTTGAGCTCGCGAGTTTTATCAAATTCTTATCAAGATCTCTCTCTTGACATTTCGCGAACCATTTCTGCCCTTAAATTCTTGAGGTATAGAAGAAGTGAAATCGAAAACGCATTAGCACGCTCTTTGTGGTCGCGTTCGAGCTGATTGTAATTATGAATCGCGGAAATTAGGATAATTCCGATTATCGGTTTTGTCCGTTTGTTACATTGATATGCGTAATTACGAGGGAAATTAACGCGAGTAATGGAGATTGTGATATTCGCGAGCGTTTATCGTGATTGTTACAGCGATCTTTCGAGTGACGAGACAGACAAGTGTCAAAGGAATTCAAGTTGAAATTCGTATGTAGAAGAAAAATGTCAATTTTCGTGAAAGAAAATCAAACATGTGTAAACATTGCATTACGCGCCGATTGCTTCGAGAAAAAAAAACGGAGAGAAGAACAAATTATTTGTGACGAGAATATAAATTAATTTGTAGCTAAGGGAAACTTGCTGTGACAAGAAATGAATTTTTTATGAATCACTCTTCGCTGTTGTTACGCGTGCATCGCTATTTTCGCCAAAGAAAAAAAATAATATAAAAGTAAACAAACGAAAGGAAGTGAGGCTACACGCGAAGAGAAGATTCAAGTTCAGCGTCGCGCGTAAAACAGAAAAAAATCCATAACCCGACGAAGTAGTGCGAATAAAATCTCGCAAAATGGCGAACAGAACGACGTCGCATCTCGCGCGAAAGATCCCTCTTGTAAATTTTCGACATTAAAACGAATATCCTATATCGAAGTCGGACTTTTCTCTTTCTCTAAGCTCATCTTATCTGAGTCATTGGCAGTTTTGTGTCAAAAGTGATTAAATAAATAAATTGATTCGTTAAAATAAATGTGAGCTGTATTTTGTTTCTTCTCTTCATTCTCTCTCCTTCTGACAAAAATCTGTGTTTTGTTTCACTTTCTAACATATAGTGGAATTGATAAGAGAATCATAAAGTTCTAAATTTTTTTTACAATGTCAACCATTTTGTGTTGCTAAACCTCGTATTTTATGTGTATACATAGTTTTTTTTTTTTTTAGAGAACTTTTAGTCAAAAGTATGAATTTTTACTTTCTTAAAAAAACACAAAAAATATCAGAATTTAATATGATTCGAAGATTATGTCACATATCAATGTCACTATAAAATTTTTATTTAATGTAACACAAGGCAAGAGAGTAATTGTATATTTAGTTTTTTATAATTTTTTAATTTACCGGAACTAAATGTAGAGACGGAACTTGTTCTTCGTCAGAAACATTGGTGTACGACTAGGGACATGTGATCAAAGGGCGCTACAAATTCGCTCAAAACGCCGGGTTTTTAATAGTCGCAATTCATAAAAACGTATTTCTATGATTACTTTTGCGACCATTGTAAATGAGACCCTAGTTCATAGAACTAAAGGGAAGAATGAGAGCGGCCAGGCCCATAAGAGTTTTTCATACGATCGCTTTTTTGCTCCTGCAAGCTAAGCGCGTGTTCACGAGTGGTGCACGTTGGCAACTACGTAGCGATATCCACGAGCGACTTGTCGATACGTATGTACGAGTGTTGCGAAGAATGTCTCCAAGTGCCTCGGTAGCCTAACAGGGAAGGCGACGGCTCAGAAAGCCGGAGATTCCAGGTTCTCAACTCCTGGCTGGAGGAGTATTTTATCGCAATATTTTAAAATTAGTTCGGGGGGGGTATTCGGGGTCCTTTCATACATGAGATGCAAGTATAGCATACTGTATGATTTTAAGAATTGAAATTTCAATTCGAAAAACACGTGTAAAAATTTACATGTGAACATATATGTATATATGTATACATATATATAATAGAACATTTCAGCATCCTGCAAANTGGTGGCGACGAACTGTTGAATGTCCGTCCTTCTTGGATCATTGCCACCTAATATGCGAACCACATATCCTTTCCATTTGTCTCTAACCTAATCTAACCTAACGCATCGGTCTCAATTTCGGCACCCATGCGCTTCTCATAAAAGATCCTTTAGTGTAAGACTCCGACTTGTATGAATAATAAGTATGGCCGGTAATAAATGATCTTGAATGATGAAGAAGAATAATTGAAAAAGAGTATGCTTTATTATAAACAAAATCCACGGTTTATACACCACTCTGATAAGCACAGAATAATAGATTACTCGCTCGTGAATCAGTTCTAACAGCCAAGGGATAACCCAAGGCCGATCAGCTCGGCGGTTCTTGCTCACGTCCGAATCGTTAACGGTTTCGGGCCAGAGATGCCAGTTCGCGGACTTTTGCAGCATGCAGCAGCAGGTGGAGGGGATACGCACACAGGCGAACAGCTGTGTACGTGTGCGCTCGGAGCTTCGGCCAACTTCGAGCAGTAGAAGGAGAGGGACATACATAGTCGTTCTCTTTCTTTCG